AATAAACCAATCTCTTCAGTGTTAAGACGGTAGTCGTTTTGGCTGGAGATAACTTCATTTAAATGAGAGAAAATACTTGATGGAATATTTTGAAATGTTCCGTGCTTTGTGATTTAAAATATAGGTTTCTAATCTAATCTAATAGAAGACGAACGCAGCCGGCAGGATTTGAACCTGCGCAGACCCCAATGGATTTCAAGTCCATCGCCTTAACCACTCGGCCACGACTGCTTGCATTCTCCTTCTAATACACTAATAAATCGTGGTGATAGTTATTTTCAAAATGTAACGATTTTAATTGCATCTCTCATGACTTTCATAAAAGTAAAATAAACCAATCTCTTCAGTGTTAAGACGGTAGTCGTTTTGGCTGGAGATAACTTCATTTAAATGAGAGAAAATACTTGATGGAATATTTTGAAATGTTCCGTGCTTTGTGATTTAAAATATAGGTTTCTAATCTAATCTAATAGAAGACGAACGCAGCCGGCAGGATTCGAACCTGCGCGGGGAGACCCCAATGGATTTCAAGTCCATCGCCTTAACCACTCGGCCACGACTACTTGTAGATTTTACTAATACACATAAAATAGCGTTCTTTATATTCACAAGGTCATGATTGTCGATGCATTATTAAGAAGGTATAAAAATAAAATTGAGCTGTGCCCATCGCATTTTTAGAAATAATCTCGTTTTGATAAGAAGTCTCCTTTAAGTAAGATAAAATAATAAATGGAATATTTTAAAAAGTATCGTGCAATAGGTAATGAAACGCAGCCGGCAGGATTCGAACCTGCGCGGGGAGACCCAATGGATTTCGAGTCCATCGCCTTAACCACTCGGCCACGACTGCTTGCATTCTCCTTCTAATACACTAATAAATCGTGGTGATAGTTATTTTCAAAATGTAACGATTTTAATTGCATCTCTCATGACTTTCATAAAAGTAAAATAAACCAATCTCTTCAGTGTTAAGACGGTAGTCGTTTTGGCTGGAGATAACTTCATTTAAATGAGAGAAAATACTTGATGGAATATTTTGAAATGTTCCGTGCTTTGTGATTTAAAATATAGGTTTCTAATCTAATCTAATAGAAGACGAACGCAGCCGGCAGGATTCGAACCTGCGCGGGGAGACCCCAATGGATTTCAAGTCCATCGCCTTAACCACTCGGCCACGACTGCTTGCATTCTCCTTCTAATACACTAATAAATCGTGGTGATAGTTATTTTCAAAATGTAACGATTTTAATTGCATCTCTCATGACTTTCATAAAAGTAAAATAAACCAATCTCTTCAGTGTTAAGACGGTAGTCGTTTTGGCTGGAGATAACTTCATTTAAATGAGAGAAAATACTTGATGGAATATTTTGAAATGTTCCGTGCTTTGTGATTTAAAATATAGGTTTCTAATCTAATCTAATAGAAGACGAACGCAGCCGGCAGGATTCGAACCTGCGCGGGGAGACCCCAATGGATTTCAAGTCCATCGCCTTAACCACTCGGCCACGACTGCTTGCATTCTCCTTCTAATACACTAATAAATCGTGGTGATAGTTATTTTCAAAATGTAACGATTTTAATTGCATCTCTCATGACTTTCATAAAAGTAAAATAAACCAATCTCTTCAGTGTTAAGACGGTAGTCGTTTTGGCTGGAGATAACTTCATTTAAATGAGAGAAAATACTTGATGGAATATTTTGAAATGTTCCGTGCTTTGTGATTTAAAACATAGGTTTCTAATCTAATCTAATAGAAGACGAACGCAGCCGGCAGGATTCGAACCTGCGCGGGGAGACCCCAATGGATTTCAAGTCCATCGCCTTAACCACTCGGCCACGACTACTTGTAGATTTTTACTAATACACGATAAAATAGCGTTCTTTATATTCACAAGGTCATGATTGTCGATGCATTATTAAGAAGGTATAAAAATAAAATTGAGCTGTGCCCATCGCATTTTTAGAAATAATCTCGTTTTGATAAGAAGTCTCCTTTAAGTAAGATAAAATAATAAATGGAATATTTTAAAAAGTATCGTGCAATAGGTAATGAAACGCAGCCGGCAGGATTCGAACCTGCGCGGGGAGACCCCAATGGATTTCGAGTCCATCGCCTTAACCACTCGGCCACGACTGCTTGCATTCTCCTTCTAATACACTAATAAATCGTGGTGATAGTTATTTTCAAAATGTAACGATTTTAATTGCATCTCTCATGACTTTCATAAAAGTAAAATAAACCAATCTCTTCAGTGTTAAGACGGTAGTCGTTTTGGCTGGAGATAACTTCATTTAAATGAGAGAAAATACTTGATGGAATATTTTGAAATGTTCCGTGCTTTGTGATTTAAAATATAGGTTTCTAATCTAATCTAATAGAAGACGAACGCAGCCGGCAGGATTCGAACCTGCGCGGGGAGACCCAATGGATTTCAAGTCCATCGCCTTAACCACTCGGCCACGACTGCTTGCATTCTCCTTCTAATACACTAATAAATCGTGGTGATAGTTATTTTCAAAATGTAACGATTTTAATTGCATCTCTCATGACTTTCATAAAAGTAAAATAAACCAATCTCTTCAGTGTTAAGACGGTAGTCGTTTTGGCTGGAGATAACTTCATTTAAATGAGAGAAAATACTTGATGGAATATTTTGAAATGTTCCGTGCTTTGTGATTTAAAATATAGGTTTCTAATCTAATAGAAGACGAACGCAGCCGGCAGGATTCGAACCAGCGCGGGGAGACTCCAATGGATTTCAAGTCCATCGCCTTAACCACTCGGCCACGACTGCTTGCATTCTCCTTCTAATACACTAATAAATCGTGGTGATAGTTATTTTCAAAATGTAACGATTTTAATTGCATCTCTCATGACTTTCATAAAAGTAAAATAAACCAATCTCTTCAGTGTTAAGACGGTAGTCGTTTTGGCTGGAGATAACTTCATTTAAATGAGAGAAAATACTTGATGGAATATTTTGAAATGTTCCGTGCTTTGTGATTTAAAAATAGGTTTCTAATCTAATCTAATAGAAGACGAACGCAGCCGGCAGGATTCGAACCTGCGCGGGGAGACCCCAATGGATTTCAAGTCCATCGCCTTAACCACTCGGCCACGACTACTTGTAGATTTTTACTAATACACGATAAAATAGCGTTCTTTATATTCACAAGGTCATGATTGTCGATGCATTATTAAGAAGGTATAAAAATAAAATTGAGCTGTGCCATCGCATTTTTAGAAATAATCTCGTTTTGATAAGAAGTCTCCTTTAAGTAAGATAAAATAATAAATGGAATATTTTAAAAAGTATCGTGCAATAGGTAATGAAACGCAGCCGGCAGGATTCGAACCTGCGCGGGGAGACCCCAATGGATTTCGAGTCCATCGCCTTAACCACTCGGCCACGACTGCTTGCATTCTCCTTCTACTACACTATTAATTGTGGTGATAGTTATTTTCAAAATGTAACGATTTTAATTGCATCTCTCATGACTTTCATAAAAGTAAAATAAACCAATCTCTTCAGTGTTAAGACGGTAGTCGTTTTGGCTGGAGATAACTTCATTTAAATGAGAGAAAATACTTGATGGAATATTTTGAAATGTTCCGTGCTTTGTGATTTAAAATATAGGTTTCTAATCTAATCTAATAGAAGACGAACGCAGCCGGCAGGATTCGAACCTGCGCGGGGAGACCCCAATGGATTTCAAGTCCATCGCCTTAACCACTCGGCCACGACTGCTTGCATTCTCCTTCTAATACACTAATAAATCGTGGTGATAGTTATTTTCAAAATGTAACGATTTTAATTGCATCTCTCATGACTTTCATAAAAGTAAAATAAACCAATCTCTTCAGTGTTAAGACGGTAGTCGTTTTGGCTGGAGATAACTTCATTTAAATGAGAGAAAATACTTGATGGAATATTTTGAAATGTTCCGTGCTTTGTGATTTAAAATATAGGTTTCTAATCTAATCTAATAGAAGACGAACGCAGCCGGCAGGATTCGAACCTGCGCGGGGAGACCCCAATGGATTTCAAGTCCATCGCCTTAACCACTCGGCCACGACTGCTTGCATTCTCCTTCTAATACACTAATAAATCGTGGTGATAGTTATTTTCAAAATGTAACGATTTTAATTGCATCTCTCATGACTTTCATAAAAGTAAAATAAACCAATCTCTTCAGTGTTAAGACGGTAGTCGTTTTGGCTGGAGATAACTTCATTTAAATGAGAGAAAATACTTGATGGAATATTTTGAAATGTTCCGTGCTTTGTGATTTAAAATATAGGTTTCTAATCTAATCTAATAGAAGACGAACGCAGCCGGCAGGATTCGAACCTGCGCGGGGAGACCCCAATGGATTTCAAGTCCATCGCCTTAACCACTCGGCCACGACTGCTTGCATTCTCCTTCTAATACACTAATAAATCGTGGTGATAGTTATTTTCAAAATGTAACGATTTTAATTGCATCTCTCATGACTTTCATAAAAGTAAAATAAACCAATCTCTTCAGTGTTAAGACGGTAGTCGTTTTGGCTGGAGATAACTTCATTTAAATGAGAGAAAATACTTGATGGAATATTTTGAAATGTTCCGTGCTTTGTGATTTAAAATATAGGTTTCTAATCTAATCTAATAGAAGACGAACGCAGCCGGCAGGATTCGAACCTGCGCGGGGAGACCCCAATGGATTTCAAGTCCATCGCCTTAACCACTCGGCCACGACTGCTTGCATTCTCCTTCTAATACACTAATAAATCGTGGTGATAGTTATTTTCAAAATGTAACGATTTTAATTGCATCTCTCATGACTTTCATAAAAGTAAAATAAACCAATCTCTTCAGTGTTAAGACGGTAGTCGTTTTGGCTGGAGATAACTTCATTTAAATGAGAGAAAATACTTGATGGAATATTTTGAAATGTTCCGTGCTTTGTGATTTAAAATATAGGTTTCTAATCTAATCTAATAGAAGACGAACGCAGCCGGCAGGATTCGATTCTGCGCGGGGAGACCTTAAATGGATTTCAAGTCCATCGCTTTAACCACTCGGCCACGACTACTTGTAGATTTTTACTAATACACGATAAAATAGCGTTCTTTATATTCACAAGGTCATGATTGTCGATGCATTATTAAGAAGGTATAAAAATAAAATTGAGCTGTGCCCATCGCATTTTTAGAAATAATCTCGTTTTGATAAGAAGTCTCCTTTAAGTAAGATAAAATAATAAATGGAATATTTTAAAAGTATCGTGCAATAGGTAATGAAACGCAGCCGCAGGATTCGAACCTGCGCGGGAGACCCAATGGATTTCGAGTCCATCGCCTTAACCACTCGGCCACGACTGCTTGCATTCTCCTTCTATACACTATTAATTGTGGTGATAGTTATTTTCAAAATGTAACGATTTTAATTGCATCTCTCATGACTTTCATAAAAGTAAAATAAACCAATCTCTTCAGTGTTAAGACGGTAGTCGTTTTGGCTGGAGATAACTTCATTTAAATGAGAGAAAATACTTGATGGAATATTTTGAAATGTTCCGTGCTTTGTGATTTAAAATATAGGTTTCTAATCTAATCTAATAGAAGACGAACGCAGCCGGCAGGATTCGAACCTGCGCGGGAGACCCCAATGGATTTCAAGTCCATCGCCTTAACCACTCGGCCACGACTGCTTGCATTCTCCTTCTAATACACTAATAAATCGTGGTGATAGTTATTTTCAAAATGTAACGATTTTAATTGCATCTCTCATGACTTTCATAAAAGTAAAATAAACCAATCTCTTCAGTGTTAAGACGGTAGTCGTTTTGGCTGGAGATAACTTCATTTAAATGAGAGAAAATACTTGATGGAATATTTTGAAATGTTCCGTGCTTTGTGATTTAAAAATAGGTTTCTAATCTAATCTAATAGAAGACGAACGCAGCCGGCAGGATTCGAACCTGCGCGGGGAGACCCCAATGGATTTCAAGTCCATCGCCTTAACCACTCGGCCACGACTGCTTGATTCTCCTTCTAATACACTAATAAATCGTGGTGATAGTTATTTTCAAAATGTAACGATTTTAATTGCATCTCTCATGACTTTCATAAAAGTAAAATAAACCAATCTCTTCAGTGTTAAGACGGTAGTCGTTTTGGCTGGAGATAACTTCATTTAAATGAGAGAAAATACTTGATGGAATATTTTGAAATGTTCCGTGCTTTGTGATTTAAAATATAGGTTTCTAATCTAATCTAATAGAAGACGAACGCAGCCGGCAGGATTCGAACCTGCGCGGGGAGACCCCAATGGATTTCAAGTCCATCGCCTTAACCACTCGGCCACGACTGCTTGCATTCTCCTTCTAATACACTAATAAATCGTGGTGATAGTTATTTTCAAAATGTAACGATTTTAATTGCATCTCTCATGACTTTCATAAAAGTAAAATAAACCAATCTCTTCAGTGTTAAGACGGTAGTCGTTTTGGCTGGAGATAACTTCATTTAAATGAGAGAAAATACTTGATGGAATATTTTGAAATGTTCCGTGCTTTGTGATTTAAAATATAGGTTTCTAATCTAATCTAATAGAAGACGAACGCAGCCGGCAGGATTCGAACCTGCGCGGGGAGACCCCAATGGATTTCAAGTCCATCGCCTTAACCACTCGGCCACGACTGCTTGCATTCTCCTTCTAATACACTAATAAATCGTGGTGATAGTTATTTTCAAAATGTAACGATTTTAATTGCATCTCTCATGACTTTCATAAAAGTAAAATAAACCAATCTCTTCAGTGTTAAGACGGTAGTCGTTTTGGCTGGAGATAACTTCATTTAAATGAGAGAAAATACTTGATGGAATATTTTGAAATGTTCCGTGCTTTGTGATTTAAAATATAGGTTTCTAATCTAATCTAATAGAAGACGAACGCAGCCGGCAGGATTCGAACCTGCGCGGGGAGACCCCAATGGATTTCAAGTCCATCGCCTTAACCACTCGGCCACGACTGCTTGCATTCTCCTTCTAATACACTAATAAATCGTGGTGATAGTTATTTTCAAAATGTAACGATTTTAATTGCATCTCTCATGACTTTCATAAAAGTAAAATAAACCAATCTCTTCAGTGTTAAGACGGTAGTCGTTTTGGCTGGAGATAACTTCATTTAAATGAGAGAAAATACTTGATGGAATATTTTGAAATGTTCCGTGCTTTGTGATTTAAAATATAGGTTTCTAATCTAATCTAATAGAAGACGAACGCAGCCGGCAGGATTCGAACCTGCGCGGGGAGACCCCAATGGATTTCAAGTCCATCGCCTTAACCACTCGGCCACGACTACTTGTAGATTTTTACTAATACACGATAAAATAGCGTTCTTTATATTCACAAGGTCATGATTGTCGATGCATTATTAAGAAGGTATAAAAATAAAATTGAGCTGTGCCCATCGCATTTTTAGAAATAATCTCGTTTTGATAAGAAGTCTCCTTTAAGTAAGATAAAATAATAAATGGAATATTTTAAAAAGTATCGTGCAATAGGTAATGAAACGCAGCCGGCAGGATTCGAACCTGCGCGGGGAGACCCCAATGGATTTCGAGTCCATCGCCTTAACCACTCGGCCACGACTGCTTGCATTCTCCTTCTACTACACTATTAATTGTGGTGATAGTTATTTTCAAAATGTAACGATTTTAATTGCATCTCTCATGACTTTCATAAAAGTAAAATAAACCAATCTCTTCAGTGTTAAGACGGTAGTCGTTTTGGCTGGAGATAACTTCATTTAAATGAGAGAAAATACTTGATGGAATATTTTGAAATGTTCCGTGCTTTGTGATTTAAAATATAGGTTTCTAATCTAATCTAATAGAAGACGAACGCAGCCGGCAGGATTCGAACCTGCGCGGGGAGACCCCAATGGATTTCAAGTCCATCGCCTTAACCACTCGGCCACGACTGCTTGCATTCTCTTCTAATACACTAATAAATCGTGGTGATAGTTATTTTCAAAATGTAACGATTTTAATTGCATCTCTCATGACTTTCATAAAAGTAAAATAAACCAATCTCTTCAGTGTTAAGACGGTAGTCGTTTTGGCTGGAGATAACTTCATTTAAATGAGAGAAAATACTTGATGGAATATTTTGAAATGTTCCGTGCTTTGTGATTTAAAACATAGGTTTCTAATCTAATCTAATAGAAGACGAACGCAGCCGGCAGGATTCGAACCTGCGCGGGGAGACCCCAATGGATTTCGAGTCCATCGCCTTAACCACTCGGCCACGACTGCTTGCATTCTCCTTCTAATACACTAATAAATCGTGGTGATAGTTATTTTCAAAATGTAACGATTTTAATTGCATCTCTCATGACTTTCATAAAAGTAAAATAAACCAATCTCTTCAGTGTTAAGACGGTAGTCGTTTTGGCTGGAGATAACTTCATTTAAATGAGAGAAAATACTTGATGGAATATTTTGAAATGTTCCGTGCTTTGTGATTTAAAATATAGGTTTCTAATCTAATCTAATAGAAGACGAACGCAGCCGGCAGGATTCGAACCTGCGCGGGGAGACCCCAATGGATTTCAAGTCCATCGCCTTAACCACTCGGCCACGACTGCTTGCATTCTCCTTCTAATACACTAATAAATCGTGGTGATAGTTATTTTCAAAATGTAACGATTTTAATTGCATCTCTCATGACTTTCATAAAAGTAAAATAAACCAATCTCTTCAGTGTTAAGACGGTAGTCGTTTTGGCTGGAGATAACTTCATTTAAATGAGAGAAAATACTTGATGGAATATTTTGAAATGTTCCGTGCTTTGTGATTTAAAATATAGGTTTCTAATCTAATCTAATAGAAGACGAACGCAGCCGCAGGATTCGAACCTGCGCGGGGAGACCCAATGGATTTCAAGTCCATCGCCTTAACCACTCGGCCACGACTACTTGTAGATTTTTACTAATACACGATAAAATAGCGTTCTTTATATTCACAAGGTCATGATTGTCGATGCATTATTAAGAAGGTATAAAAATAAAATTGAGCTGTGCCCATCGCATTTTTAGAAATAATCTCGTTTTGATAAGAAGTCTCCTTTAAGTAAGATAAAATAATAAATGGAATATTTTAAAAAGTATCGTGCAATAGGTAATGAAACGCAGCCGGCAGGATTCGAACCTGCGCGGGGAGACCCCAATGGATTTCGAGTCCATCGCCTTAACCACTCGGCCACGACTGCTTGCATTCTCCTTCTACTACACTATTAATTTGTGGTGATAGTTATTTTCAAAATGTAACGATTTTAATTGCATCTCTCATGACTTTCATAAAAGTAAAATAAACCAATCTCTTCAGTGTTAAGACGGTAGTCGTTTTGGCTGGAGATAACTTCATTTAAATGAGAGAAAATACTTGATGGAATATTTTGAAATGTTCCGTGCTTTGTGATTTAAAATATAGGTTTCTAATCTAATCTAATAGAAGACGAACGCAGCCGGCAGGATTCGAACCTGCGCGGGGAGACCCCAATGGATTTCAAGTCCATCGCCTTAACCACTCGGCCACGACTGCTTGCATTCTCCTTCTAATACACTATAAATCGTGGTGATAGTTATTTTCAAAATGTAACGATTTTAATTGCATCTCTCATGACTTTCATAAAAGTAAAATAAACCAATCTCTTCAGTGTTAAGACGGTAGTCGTTTTGGCTGGAGATAACTTCATTTAAATGAGAGAAAATACTTGATGGAATATTTTGAAATGTTCCGTGCTTTGTGATTTAAAATATAGGTTTCTAATCTAATCTAATAGAAGACGAACGCAGCCGGCAGGATTCGAACCTGCGCGGGGAGACCCCAATGGATTTCAAGTCCATCGCCTTAACCACTCGGCCACGACTGCTTGCATTCTCCTTCTAATACACTAATAAATCGTGGTGATAGTTATTTTCAAAATGTAACGATTTTAATTGCATCTCTCATGACTTTCATAAAAGTAAAATAAACCAATCTCTTCAGTGTTAAGACGGTAGTCGTTTTGGCTGGAGATAACTTCATTTAAATGAGAGAAAATACTTGATGGAATATTTTGAAATGTTCCGTGCTTTGTGATTTAAAACATAGGTTTCTAATCTAATCTAATAGAAGACGAGCGCAGCCGGAAGATTCGAACCAGCGCGGGGAGACCCCAATGGATTTCAAGTCCATCGCCTTAACCACTCGGCCACGACTACTTGTAGATTTTTACTAATACACATAAAATAGCGTTCTTTATATTCACAAGGTCATGATTGTCGATGCATTATTAAGAAGGTATAAAAATAAAATTGAGCTGTGCCCATCGCATTTTTAGAAATAATCTCGTTTTGATAAGAAGTCTCCTTTAAGTAAGATAAAATAATAAATGGAATATTTTAAAAAGTATCGTGCAATAGGTAATGAAACGCAGCCGCAGGATTCGAACCTGCGCGGGGAGACCCAATGGATTTCGAGTCCATCGCCTTAACCACTCGGCCACGACTGCTTGCATTCTCCTTCTACTACACTATTAATTTGTGGTGATAGTTATTTCAAAATGTAACGATTTTAATTGCATCTCTCATGACTTTCATAAAAGTAAAATAAACCAATCTCTTCAGTGTTAAGACGGTAGTCGTTTTGGCTGGAGATAACTTCATTTAAATGAGAGAAAATACTTGATGGAATATTTTGAAATGTTCCGTGCTTTGTGATTTAAAATATAGGTTTCTAATCTAATCTAATAGAGACGAACGCAGCCGGCAGGATTCGAACCTGCGCGGGGAGACCCAATGGATTTCAAGTCCATCGCCTTAACCACTCGGCCACGACTGCTTGCATTCTCCTTCTAATACACTAATAAATCGTGGTGATATTATTTCAAAATGTAACGATTTTAATTGCATCTCTCATGACTTTCATAAAAGTAAAATAAACCAATCTCTTCAGTGTTAAGACGGTAGTCGTTTTGGCTGAGATAACTTCATTTAAATGAGAGAAAATACTTGATGGAATATTTGAAATGTTCCGTGCTTTGTGATTTAAAATATAGTTTCAATCTAATCTAATAGAAGACGAACGCATCCGGCAGGATTCGAACCTGCGCGGGAGACCCCAATGATTTCGAGTCCATCGCCTTAACCACTCGGCCACGACTGCTTGCATTCTCCTTCTAATACACTAATAAATCGTGGTGATAGTTATTTTCAAAATGTAACGATTTTAATTGCATCTCTCATGACTTTCATAAAAGTAAAATAAACCAATCTCTTCAGTTAAGACGGTAGTCGTTTTGGCTGGAGATAACTTCATTTAAATGAGAGAAAAATACTTGATGGAATATTTTGAAATGTTCGCTTTGTGATTTAAAATATAGGTTTCTAATCTAATCTAATAGAAGACGAACGCAGCCGCAGGATTCGAACCTGCGCGGGGAGATCCCAATGGATTTCAAGTCCATCGCCTTAACCACTCGGCCACGACTACTTGTAGATTTTTACTAATACACGATAAAATAGCGTTCTTTATATTCACAAGGTCATGATGTCGATGCATTATTAAGAAGGTATAAAATAAAATTGAGCTGTGCCATCGCATTTTAGAAATAATCTCGTTTTGATAAGAAGTCTCCTTTAAGTAAGATAAAATAATAAATGGAATATTTTAAAAAGTATCGTGCAATAGGTAATGAAACGCAGCCGGCAGGATTCGAACCTGCGCGGGGAGACCCAATGGATTTCGAGTCCATCGCCTTAACCACTCGGCCACGACTGCTTGCATTCTCCTTCTACTACACTATTAATTTGTGGTGATAGTTATTTTTCAAAATGTACGATTTTAATTGCATCTCTCATGACTTTCATAAAGTAAAATAAACCAATCTCTTCAGTGTTAAGACGGTAGTCGTTTTGGCTGGAGATAACTTCATTTAAATGAGAAAAATACTTGATGGAATATTTTGAAATGTTCCGTGCTTTGTGATTTAAAATATAGGTTTCTAATCTAATCTAATGAAGACGAACGCAGCCGGCAGGATTCGAACCTGCGCGGGGAGACCCCAATGGATTTCAAGTCCATCCCTTAACCACTCGGCCACGACTGCTTGCATTCTCCTTCTAATACACTAATAAATCGTGCGTGATAGTTATTTTTTCAAAATGTAACGATTTTAATTGCATCTCTCATGACTTTCATAAAAGTAAAATAAACCAATCTCTTCAGTGTTAAGACGGTAGTCGTTTTGGCTGGAGATAACTTCATTTAAA